GGAGAAAGAAAAAAAAAAAGAGTTTTTTTAATGTTATAAAAGAAGCAATAAATGTTTCTTTTGTTTGATTATTATTATTATTATTATCTCATCCAATGAAACGCAATTCGAATTATTCGTTCTTTTTCCCTTGAATATTTACCACATTATTAAATAATATAATATAATTGTTTAAATCATTCTTTTACAATGTTATAATAAATATATATATGTTGAAAAGAATTTATTATAGAATTTATCTTCACGATCTTTGGTTATCGTTTAATTAAATATATCATCGAACCTCGTTTAAATAATAATTAATGAATTTTACCGTTTGTGTTTTATATGATATTTTAATTATAAATCGGATATTTTTCTCTTTTGTTTCTTTTTTATATAATCGTATTAAATATTACAAATCACACAATTCGCGATGTTCGTTGAGAAAATATTTCTGTTTATCTTCTTTTTCTTCCTTTCTTTTTTTTTTTAAAATATATCACATATGTATGAATTTCTTTCGAGAGAGGATTGCATGTGTGTATGTTTATGTGTTTGCTCAGGACTTAATAACACAAACTAAAGAATGTTTAATCAAGTTAATGCGTCTGATGACCATGTTCGTGTCATTATCATTATGTCGTGCCCTTCAACAAAAGTGAGAACGAGTTAAAGTAACCGGAACCATATAAGCGGAATAAACAACACGTATGAACATTAATTTAGTATTTAATAGTATCATGTAACATAAACCGAAAGTTATACGATGCGATAGATGACGTCAAGGCGTAGGAAGATCAACAAGTTGTTTGAACAAAACCTTATTTCATTCTTACATCGTCGTGTATTATCCTTTAAAAAAAAATTGAAAAATAACTTATCTCCTATTCAAATTCAAACAAACTTAAAAAAACTATACTACTAATAATTTATTTTATTTTTTTTTTTAAATAATTATTGTGAAATATACGTGAGTTCATTATTATGTTTTATTCGTTTATTAATGAAAAATATATTTGTTTGATATTAATTAATAGTCATTGGGGGGGGGGGGCCTAATTGTAATCACATAATTTTTAATATAAAAATATTCAATGTTTCAATATATATAAACGAGATTATATTTAAATTGAAGTATTAAAATTTAAGACATTATATATATATAATAGGTCAAGGTAATATGGTAATTTACAATATTTGAAAATTTTTCTAACAAGTATATCGTTAATAGGATTACTTTAACTTTGACATGAAACACGAATATTATCATGAATATATATTCGAACCGTAAAACTAACAAATTTTATTAAAACTATTATTATAAATTATTGCTAATTTTTAATTGGAAAAGATTATATTTTTGCCTGAACATCTTTGTAGAAATTAAAAATAAAAGTAACTGAAATATAAATAAATGAGAAAACAGAGAGAAATAATTTAATAATAAATAGATATTAAATAAAAATAAATAATCATTACCTAATAAAAAATAAATAAACTTAATTGATGTATGAAACACATCCACACACACACATTCGTTAGCATAAATAATATCTTTCTCGAGTATTGTAAATAAGTATACAGTCATCTATCGATCATTATAACAACGACATTTGTTTTGAAGATTAAAAGATTTCGAGATTATAAATCGCATCTGTATTTATATATAATACTATGATCATAAAAATAAGATAATAATTAAAACAAAGAAAACAACATTGAAAATTATCGATGATAGTTAAAACTATATGACATAACATATATATAGATATATATAGTATATAAAATAACTATTGTACTTACCGTTTAGTGAAACGTCATTATTGAACATGAAGCATCATTGACATTGTCATAATCGGCAATACGATCTTTCTCGATAAAGATATGATCTATCGAAGTGACAGGAATACCTTTCTCAATAAATTTTTACATTTTTATACCTATAAAAGCTTTTATGTGTTTTATATTAGATATTTTATGTGTTTATATGTGATATATACGTAGTATTTAAATATATATATGTGTGTGTGGATATATAAATGTATTTATGTATAAGTATTATTTACGTACACACACATATATATATAAGTCACGGAATTAACAGAATACACGATAGCGCGTTTTAATACACGAGAAATATTTTTCTGAACTAAAGAGTTTTCGATGAGTCGTTCGTTTATAAATTCCGATAAGTATCGAAGAAGAAGAAGAAGAAGAAGTTTATCCGCCAGATTACCCTGATTTGTTGATTTCCATGAAAACAAATTTAACGTTAGAAATATTTTACTTTTACTTTTCATTTTTTATTTATATATTTCTTTTCTCTCTGTCTATCTTTCTCTCACACACGTGCATACACAAACACACACTCTCGTTTTATTATTTTATTTTTCCACGTACGCGATGTAATATTTTTCTTTTTCCCCTTTAACAGATATGTTCTTTTATTTCTATTTCTTCTTTTTATTGTGGTTGTTTTATTTAGAAATCAAACGGGGTAGTTTAAACGTGCGCGTAAAACGTGCTCCTTTGAAAAAATTTCTTTTACTTCTTTTTCGTTACTTCTCGAAAAAATGAAACTTTTTGTTTTTCTTTTCCCTATTATTATATTTGATTTTTATATTTACTTGTTTTTAACAGTCCCCTATTCAATTCTTCATATTATTTTTATTTGTTTACGCGTAGTGAAAAATTCTTTATACATTTCCATTTTATTCTATAATATTTAAATTATTATTTTTCAATCGAAATTTTGGGATATAAAAAATTGTTCGATTAAATATCATGTGTGTGTGTGTTTGTTTTATAAGATATCACTGAGAATATGAGAATTAGTATAAACAGAAGGTAAATACCATATACGCGACCGTCGTCGTGCGAAGTTTAAACGATACTGACTTCCACGGATGGTATATATCGTTTAATCTTACGCATGTCCGTTCGTTTTCCAACCTAGCATCCTTCTTCTCTACTATATCTATCTATCTTACTCTTTCTCTTTCTCGTTATTATATTCTTTACCCTTTTTTAAACGAATTTTTTTGTAATTTTTCGTTAAAAAAACATTTCAATAATAAATACATTTCAAATCAATAAATTCTATCTTTTTACCATATAAATTATTTAACATACATGTATGGGGATGGATTGACAAAAAGTCATCTTTAATTTAAACTAAAACGAAAACAAAATCTAATTTTTCTTTATAATATACATTTTATATACATTTTTTTGTTCGCTTAATAAAAGTTTGTTTATATATTATCAAGGCTGACAACTTTTATATAATATATATATATATATATTATTTACTTTTTATATTAATACAAATTTATCTCCGTTTTATTATTATATTTTTTTTATCATTGACCATAATTATTCTTTTTTTTCTTACTATCAATCCTTCTCTGTTATTCTTACAATTTTTTAACCAAAACCTCTCCCTCCAATTAAATTATTATTACTTTTAATTTTCTACATTATATACATATTATATTTCTATCGATTGTTGCATATTAATTGTTAAAACTAGAAGGAAAAGAAAAGGAAGCATTATATTATGCACCATAAATTATGGAAAATTCCCAATTTCAAAATGAAAGTATTATAATAGGAATAATCAAACGTTTCTCAGTTTAAATACCTGATACTTGGAAAATATTTGAAAAGGTAAATTGAACTAAAAGGGAGGAATGAGATAACGAAAGAGAATGAGAATGAGAGAGAGAGAGAGAGAGAGAGAGAGAGAGAGAGACTGAGAGAGAAATATGAGATGATCAAATCGTCGATAAAAAAGGATTTGGATAAAATTATTCGCGAAGAGTAAAACGCTTATAATAAAGGAAAAAAATAGATAAAAATTGTTCTCGATCGAAAAATTAGTTTTCTATATTTTCATTAAATTTTTTCATTAGATTTCATTCTTTTTTTTTTCAACTTCTTCTTCTTCTTTTTTAATTTAATAATAATAATAATAATTTTCCATTTCATTAGATGGGGGCGAAGGAGGAGGGGGAGGGGGTTTACAATAAATAATTACGCTCTCCGGAATGTTCTTTTTTATTCATCACATTTGTAATAATACTCTTTCTTCTTTTTTTTTTTTTTTATATACATAATTTTATATATAATAAAGTTGTATATACAAAATACATTTATTTATTTGCAAATAAAGTAAAAATAATAGAAATCTTTTTGAATCGCGACAAATTTGTCGATTAGTATATTTCATTTTTTTTGGCTTCGTTTTATTTTATTTTATTTAATTCTTTTTTGTTGTTGTTGTTGTTTTTCTTTACTCGTACATTACTCGCACATTTACACGTTCGAGAAAAACTCGAATGCATATAAATCCAATTAAATTTCCACGCGGCAACCGTTGCGATTTTTAATATTTTTTTTTTTCAAAATTACAAAATAAAGATAAAAGAAAAAAAGGTACATATATATAAAAATTAATAATTCAACGCCATTCATTCGTATCAAAAACTCGCGTAAATTTATAACTAATTTATACATTTCTGAATTAAACGTACAATACCAGTATGCGTACGTGTATATATGTGTGTGTTTATTTATAAAACATAGAAAATGATATTGATTATAATCGATATATCTTTGTCGAAGAAATACTCGAAAAAAAGAATATTTGATTATCTTAAGATTATAATTCGTATTAATTTTATTTATCATTGATTTCCTATCTAATTGTGTAAGATAGGAAAGATTCTTAACACGAACGCGGGGATAATGCTTGTCTATTTATATTTTATTTATTTTATCATAGTAGAATTGTAAATAAATCGCGAATCATTTGACCAATACATTTTTGGATGATTAAATAAATATATATGTATGTGTGGGTATTTGTGTGTAGTTAATTATTGATTAAGCAACAACTTGCCTGTGACAACTGTATCTCGTTAGGACTTGATTGTATAATCTCGAGAAAAATGACACGTGAGACAGATAGATAATGTCAGTAGATAGAGGGGATAAGAAAAAGGATTGTCATTGTTAACAACAACAATAAAAAAAAAGAAAAAAAAAATCTTAGTTTATTAAAAATCGTAGAATATAATATTCCTACGATTTTGTAGATCACTGTGTGTGTTCGTAACACTTTGATGATAAGATATATTATATTTTGTTTTGTTAATTATATATTCATTTTTCCTCATGTTCTTGTTTTTTTTTTTCTTCTAACAATTTGCACAGCCTACAAATAAAAAAAACCCCCATAAAAATCTTCGAGACAAAAATTGCGTATATAACTAGTATTCGAACTATCTAAAAAAAAAAAAAAAATAATAACTAACTGTTATATTATATTTAAAAAAATTTTATCTCTTGATCATACAACGATATATAGGATTTTTTATCCTATTAAATTAATATACATTTGAATATTTTGTGCTATTATGTTAAACAAATTGAATTGGAAAATATATTAGAATCTTGGTGCAACACATATAAAATAATATCGATGTACAAATCGAATGAATTAAACATTCAACGTGTGTGTATGTGTTTGTGTGTTTGATGAACGTCTTTCGAAAATACAATTTGAATAGGAACGTAATGCAATCTACAATGATGTCGTACGAATTCTTTTGCAATACGCGACTAATGCTATACACCGTATTCCTTTTAATACGAAAGGAAACTCTTGAGAAGAAAAAAGAAAAAAAGAAAGAAACAGAAGAAGAAAAAAAAAAAGAATTATCGAATGAATCCTATACCAGAGAGTTTTTACATAAGATTCGTGTCTAATGGCATGCATGCTTCATAAAAAAAAAAACAAAAGAAAGGAAAAAAATTACACAATTATATCAATTTTTTTTTTTTTGCTAAATTATAACTTATTTTTTCTTAAAGTCAACGAATAAGAAGAAAATAGAAAAAAAAAAAAAGAAAAATAAAACCTACACCTTCTTAATCGGCATAATTAATCGATCATTTCCTGAGATTCTACAAAAAATTATGCTAATAAAATTGATAGTTAAACAAAACAAAAAAAGGAAAGGATGAAGTAATGACAAAAAATGAGAAAGGAGTAGGGAGGTTGGGGAGGAGGGGGGGATGGAGGTAGGAGAAATAAAAAAGTTCTTTCGAAAAGGAAAAGAGAATAAGAAAAAAATTATGGGGAAGGGGCAAAAAAAAAAAAAGGTGCGACATATATAATTTAATATCACGGTATGATTAGATGAGCAATATCACGAATTTCATTTTCTCCCAAGAGAATATTAAACAAGTCTCTCATGGTCAAATGTTGGATCGTTTCGTTGACTCTACTGGCCACGTAACTCTTGATTCCTGGGAGTATGTCTGGCTTAATGATTTCTATTACTTGCGGAGTGAGTTCTTGAAAGACCTAAAATGAAACCCAAAAAAAAAAATAAAAACAAAAAATATCAAGAAGAAAGTAAGAAAGAAGCAATAAAAATGAATCCAGCAGACACAAATATATATATACTATATATA